TAAAAAGTCAATCGTAATAATAGGTATGTAGGTTTTTTGAGTGTAAAAATACGTATAGTATAAACGTAGGCAGGTTAGAGGGATCCCAAAAATGTATGTAACTCTATGAAAAGGGGATCGAAGACAAAAAAAAGTGAAGTTTAAAAAATTCAACTAAATCGCAGATGTGTGAACACGCGTGCGAGTTATGGTATAAAGAGGCGGTTGGCTGCAGGTGCACATACTAGGGTGACGTACGCACGTGCAAACACATGCGTAAGAGAACTGCTCGCGCGTATGATTGGATGGGCCTAAGGTTAAACGCTTGCAACTGTGCCAATGAGCTCGCAGCAACCTTGAACAGTTGACGCGATTGGTTAACCTCCAGCTGGGTTAGTCAAAGCAGCGCACAGTGGCGGATGACGTTTCAAAATAGTATCTGGCGACTTTATTGTATCGGGCTTTTTATTGATAAATATGAAAGCTATGTAATTCCTTATCCCAAAATAGGCATTGCTTTTTTTATTTACGTCGTCACCGATGTAGCGCAGTCTCTCAAAGTCAGCCAATCAGAAAATGGGATTTTCAAGCTTCAGTTTTCTTTGAAAATTTTGAGCATCCAGGAGATATGAGGTAGTTTTATTGATCAAAAGTTGAAAATACAAGCGGTTTTACACTTCTTACGAACAAAATTTGAAGTAATATTAATTTCGTTTACTGATGGATGATGAAGGCATTTAAATAGCACGAATTTAGATGAAAACTTGCGAGAACTTTTTTGGGCAGCGATGTAAAATTGTAGCGAGTAGGTGCCTTTTGCTACACGTAAACGGCAGGAAAAGACATAACAGCACCCTGGTGTTCTCTCGAGTGAAAAATGCAATCAAATGTGAAAAAATGGACAAATTGGTGGGGGAGCCGATTCTGTTCACTTGGCTTAAAAGTGGTGGCGTGAAGTGGAATGAAATGTGTTAGTGATTGCTCACTGAATTCAATCCTATGCTTTAGTAGGCTAAATGGGCTACAAACATCTAAAAAGTAGCAGTTTCACTTTGTTTTTACTGATTTTTCTGGTAAAATTTGACATGTAGCTCCGTTTGACGTTTACTTTACTGTGCAAATGCAGAAAACATTGAAAATAATGCATGCAAGCATTGAAACGTTAAAAGATCCTTTTTAAAAGCCATAGTATGAGTGTTAAATCCTGAAATAAAAGTAGGTTACCTGAAATCTCTACCCCATTTGGGATGCTTGATGCGCATGCGCGTGACATCCCCGTTCACACATGATCTCACATGACCACGGAGCGTGAATGGGCCAACAACAGTAAGCATTACGCATACCACGAGCCATGCATGACTAATAACACTAATCCGATTTACTTTTGGAGCGGAAAGTTCGGCTGCGACAGAAATCCTTCATTGCGAAAACTTTTGCATCCAAAAACCAAAATATGGCCATTTTTGTCCTTTTTTTATCCCCATATAAGCATTAAATCCGACTTTTTTCTAATTACGCTACTGCTATTAATTCTGACATGAAAAGTGCTTCTGTTTTGTGCAATTAACGCACATAATTACACACGCGTGAGTCCGATCAAAAATGAAAAATCGATAATATTGATTTAAATATTCACTTAAATCAATTTTTGGCGACGTCAAAACCTCCGCGGGATAATTAGCAGTAACTTTGTCAAATTTGGTTGAAATCGGTTGAAAAATGTAGGAGATCCGATCAAACATATAAACGGACACACACACACACACACACACACACACATATATATTCTGCCTTTTATGTATATATATAAGCAAACAACAAAATGTCAAAATTATTGGCAGGGTTACAATTTTGTCATATGAAATTTCATGTATTTATGAAAAGCTCATTGATATAAAGCTTCCGAAAGCTTCTATAAAAATTCCTCTTGGAAGAAACAAAGAAAGCAACTGGTAATTAAGATTTTAATTTCATGCTTGTAACACCTGTCACCATGACAAAGAGAAAGAAACACAGTCTAACTCTTAGAAAATAAGTTTGGAAATAAAACTTGCAAAGCCGGAATGACGCTATCAGTAGAAATTATGGCGGTATTTATTGAATAAACCATTTCTATTTAATAAACTGATCATAGGTAATTTTTTTTTTAAATACGGACTGTTTTTATTGAATATCTTTATAGATTTAAGTAAAATATAATTTGGTCACAATTTACTTGGCAATTCACCCATTCCTCTTTCTCTCTCTTTATATATATATATATATATATATATATATATATAGAGATTAAAAAAAGAGAGAGAAAATGCGGAGGAGGAAATATATATACCTTTTTACCTCATAATATATATCAGAGAAAGAAACAAAGAGAGAAAAAAGAAAGTTTTTCAAAGATTTAAATATATACGGTATACACTGTACACTATATATATATATATATATTATATATTGGGAAAGAGAGAGAGAGAGAGAGAGAATAAAGAAATCTGAGAATGAGTTTTACATACTTTGTAAGTAACTTTACATACTTTGTAAGTAACTCCAATCTGGTTGCTGTAATATTCATTTCCTACCAGTGCATGTGATCGGTGTTCGAACTCCGGTAAAAGCAATAATTTAAAAACCAGCCTTTCAAACAGGCAGACTGAATGGTTTGGCGTAACCAGATCTTCATCACGCATTCGAGTGCATGTTACACTCTATAGAGCTAGTAAATTAGTTTTTTTTTTTCACATCCAAGGAAGGTGATAATGCTACTAAGATGCAAGGGGTTACTGGGGTGCATGAAGAAAAACGGGAAGACTCTCGAAGGAAGAACCAGAAACCCAATTCTGAACAGAAAACAAATTTATTGGCCTCTACTCCTGATAGAAAGATGTGGAAGGATTGTGGGAATACAATAGCTGTTTTGAATTTACATGAAGTTGCGAATCTTTTTTGTCGTCGTCGTAAAATTTCCATTTACCGCCATTTAGACACGTGCTCAACTTACTAAATACCTATAGTTATTTTAATGAGAATGTTTGCAGTTTTTATTTTACTAATCTTAGCTGAAATCACAAGTATAGGACGCCTACATAAGATCGAACTCACTACTCATTAATAATGATTAACCAGGTGTAATTAACTATTACTTTACGCCGAATTTTCGCAGTTGATTAGAATTTGATTAATATAAATGAGGTTTATAGGTTTGAACTGAAATAATGTATCCTGTAAATTCCAAGGGAGACAACAACTTTATATTCTCCTTGCTCTCAAGCTAAAAACAAAATCATTATTTTGCCAATTTATCAGCTTAAAGCTTTCTTTGGTTTCAATGGATTAATATTTTGTGAAACGCATTTAAAGTTGAAATAATTAGTTTTCAATGCCAATTCAGTTCTTGAAACTGGTAAAAAATGGTTGCTGAAAATATTAGGTTTATAATACCCAGAACTTCATACCCAGTTGGCACAGTGGATAAAGGCGTTGGTTAGATCCAGTAACAGACCCAAAGAGTGTGAGTTCAATACCCGGTTGAACTTTCAGAGGGAAAATTAGCAGGAGATAACTAATAACTGACATTCATCAAACATGGCACGTGGAACTAGAACAGTCTACCCCAGTGATCGAAATAAAGGGTTCAGTTCGAAATTCCAACAACCACCTGAAGAAGGCTGGAAACGTTGTGACAAATATGGCGACAAAGATGAGGACAATAGTCCGACTAATGTAAATACTGTACATAATACCTCATCTCAGAAATATAGACAGACTCTGAAAGAATAGGAAGTTATGGGGATCTATGATCGTCCATGTCATCTGGAAGAAGAGGGTTGGGTGAGGAATAAAACAAAAAATCTGTTACCAGTTTCGGAAACTTTTCTCATGTTTTATTGAACGTCGAAATATCTGTACCTTCATGTAAAAATGAAGCTTAATAAGAAAAGGATGAATATTGTTACCACAAATTTGCAGGTTCGTCCATCGCCCGGTTCACACTCCTCTCATGTCTTTTGGGCAAGAGTATATAATTATCTCTTCCACTTCCATTTTTTAATTTTTTTCTTTTCTTTTTCGCCTCCGTTTTTCATCGCTTACTTCCTTTAGTTCAGCCCTTCTTCCTTCATTATTTCCTTCTTTTCACCTCACTCCAGTCGGCTTCATTTCGGTTTCCATATCGACCGGTTCACATTCTTAACCGGTCTTTTGAACAGGGGTAGAGATTTACAACTTGTTTCCTGTTTACGATTGGATTTCCGGTTCCGTCTAAAGTCTTTCTTTCACTTCCGGTGGCCCTTTACGTTTTGGTGACATTGTGATAACTCTTACTCTGTAACCCTCTACCTTAAGTGTAAAAAATAAAAATTCACTCACGTGCAAATACCCATGGGAAAGGTGTGAATCCATCTCCCTAGCTATGGATTAAATAGTAGAACTTGTATCTGGAAAAATCATTGTTATTTCTGTTTCTCCCTTCCTTTTCTTTTCCATTTATTTCTTTCACTTACTTTTTAAAAATCCTTTTTTAGCTTTTCATCTCTTCTTTTAGTTCAGCCCTTCTTCCTTCATTATTTCCTTCTTTTCACCCCACTTCAGTAGGCTTCGTTTCGGTTTCCATATCGTCCGGTTCACACTCCTCTTCGGTATTTTGAACGGGAATATACATTTATCCCTTGTTTCCTGTTTAGAATTGGCTTTCCGGTTTCTTACAAAGTCATTTCCATCTCTTTCTCTCCCGGTGCCCCCTTGCCATTCGGTGACATTTTCACCTTGCTTGAGGTGGTGGCTCGTACTCTGTAACCCACAACCTCGAGTGGCTCTTGGGCCTTGTACAGGGTGAAGTGGGCATCATTGGAAAACAAAAACAAAAAACAAAAATGTAGGACGATTCTGGTTACCTTTCTTGAAAATCAGCATTCGAAAACATAGCTTTTTGCCTGGGTGCGAACACCAAACTGGCACCGATAGAAAATACGCTATAACGAATCTGCTTTAAGAGAGAAATCATTATTGCATCACCTAGTATACTTGGGATTTACGATTATATCACGTTGAAACACCGGTTCGCGCACGATCACCGAAATTAAGCAACGTCAAGCCTGGCGAGTACCTACATGGGTGACCGCTTGGAAATACCAGTTGCTCTAAGCTTGGATGTGTGGGTGGTGTAATGGGTAATGGCTCGGAATTTTTAATCGAAGTAACGTGTTTCAATTCACGTTATATTCACTTGGGAAATGTATGAATCCAATTTTTCTTCTCCCAGCTAAGATTTAATTAGTAAGATTTGTATAACTAAAACCATGGTTATCTAAATGAAAGAAAAAAAAATATTCTTACAATCTAAAAAATATTTTCTAGCTTTAAATAACCTGCAAAATTTGATAGGCCGTAGAAAACGAATCAATCAATCAAGTATAGTTGGATGCTTTTATGAGAAAACCTAAAGTTTTATTTCGTTTGAGCTGACTTCCCATGAAAGATATTTGTCGGTCAAAACTGATGGCGCAAACAGCTTGGAAAGAACAAATACTAGTTAGCGAAACGGTTGCCTTAACTTATCGCTCGTATACAGGGACAACTGTATTGAATTATTTGGAGGGAGCTTAAAGAAAATTGCTGATGTGTGATTCTCTAATGGATAATCAAATAGCTTTTCTTTGAGGCTCCATTCAACTACTGAAAAATAAGTTATTCTTAGACTTTCTCTTATTTTAAAAAAATCAAAAAAAAATCAGTTATCTGTTTTCTTTTTTTGTCTATTGCTATTGGCAGAAACCTTAACGGAATTTACGGGAATATAAAGCTGTCCAACCGAATTTGCAGTTGAAACCTGTTATTTATTGAAAGAGAGACAAGAAGCAACTGGCAAACTTTTACATCGATTCCAGTCCGAGGTTCTTCGAAAAGGGCATAGAAAAAGGAAAAATAAGTATTCTTTATTTTTGCCAGTGAAGTAAGATTTTATTTTTATTCGATTACTGTCAAAAATCATAGCAAAAATAGTTTCATCAATCAAATAATTTTGAACCGTAAAAATGAAAATAACTCCCAAAAACATGTGGGGAGCATTAAATACATTTCATTAGCCCAATAGCCAGGAAATGAGAAAAAAAACGTAACTCGAGTAACACTGGCTCAATGTAATCACTGGTCAATGAATACTGAATGTTTCCTCATAAGGAAACGGTTAATATTACGATTACAATTAGAAATGAGAACAGATACTACAGTTTGATCCCAGCCTCGTGATCAGGAAAAAGTGAAACTAATAATTAAATTAAGTTATATACCATGCGTGATACACATTTAGGCGATCATGTATTTTTCGATACATGACGGACGAGACAGATTTATTCCCGCAGTAGGTTGCCATTTCTTTCTGCAGTAGACCAGTTGCCACCCAAGGATATAGGTCTATCCTGCTATTTACCCATAGCTAGGCGGGGGGGGGGTTGAAGAGGAATCATACCTTTCCCAAGGGTATTAGCACGTAAGTGAATGTAATGGATTCGACTGGAGTTGAAACTTGACTGTCTGATTCCTCAATCAGAGCCGCTATCCATTACCCCACTGTGCCTCCATAAAAAAAAAAACTTTGAATAGGCACCGAATAAATATGGATTAAGTTTCACACAGCATTGTTGTAAAGTTAAAATAGATTGTAGGACACTTAGTGAGGGGCGAACTCACTATATTGTCAATACAATGTTTTACACCATGTTGAAGGTAGATGGTAGCGGCAAATATCATAACTAAGAACTTGTATTAATGGGTAGTCGCATGTGAACAGGGAGGGATAGTGAGAGGTCAAGCGTTGCTCAGCCAAGGAGCTTATTGTGGAGCTGAGATAGGTCGTGGGGGATTTTTAACGACTAACTATAAAATGAACTAACAAATAATGGATTAAATTTTTTAAAAGATTACAGGAATATTTTAGTTTTTACTTTTTTGCTATTATATTAAATTTTCTTTGACTCTGGAACTAAATACGTCATCTTCAGTTTTGATGACGTCATCTTCAGTTTTGTTATGGTTTCAGCTATGTGTGTTTTTTTTTATAAGCATCCCTTGAGAGGATGTGGTATTATGGTGTATGGAGGATTGATTGGCGACGGATGAGATTTTATGGTGAATGAGGAAATTATAACGAGTGAATGGGTCGTGAATTCGATTAGCTAGGTATAAGATAGTTCCCCATTTTCGGCCTTGTGCCATAATTGTATTAATTTACAATAAATCTCAATAGTGAATCGCCTAACAAAAACAAAACATTATGAAAGTATAAAAAATCATTTTTACAGTAAAAATAACTGCATTATGTTTATATATAAAAGTTGTCAACAATACATATTTATAGGAAAATTACCACGAATACATTTTATCTGTAGTTGAAGGCATACAACTACGTTCAAAATATATTTAGTTAAAGCCATGAAAATTTTGTTCAAAATATATAGATTTCGGCATTAAATCACCCATAAAGGTTGAGATGCCGTTAAACAAAATATACCACCACCACCACCACCACTTGTACATAAGTTTTCAGGCTAAATTTTATATTGTATTTTTTGGTCACGGTTATTGAAGTTTTATTCATAACTATATAATATTTTCCAATATTTTTGCAATTTTGCTGACATCAGCATAATTAAAATATCTGATAAATTTTCGACAGCATGACAGAGTGAACCAACTGTCCTAGCTAAATTTTTCATGTATGTTTTTATTGCGAATGTAAGTCTTTATTTGACGTTTTTCTTTTTTTACGACAGTCTATTTTAGTAACATACCTAGAATTTCAAATCAGTACCTCAACCACAAAATAATAATATATATAAAGTCGCGCGCGTGCAAAAAAAAAAATGCTTACAGTAGTGAGGCTCGCCAAAAAAAAAAAAAAAAAAATTAAAGTAACTCCAATAGAGTGGTCCCCGTATGAAAACAGGGATAAATATTTTGTGAAATAATTGTAGATTAGCATTCTTTAGACCTTAGACTGCGACACATGTCAGAATCGAAAAATATTGATTTTTAAAAACTCATTTAGAAGTGGATTCCTCTTTATAATACCAATATAGTTTTAAATCTATCTCTGATTTTTATAAAGTCATTGAGCTTAGATATTTAGCGTGAAAAATCAGATTTGGGGGCTGCAAAAAGATTTCTTTTAAATAAAGAAAAAAATGTTACATAAGTTAATAAAATCATACATACGTTTATTCTTCATTTAAGAAAAAATAATTATTAACCTGAAATATTTGTGCATGTGCTTACGAAGAAATGACATACAAAAACAAGTTTAAAAAACTAAAATGTTAAAAATATAAAATTCAAGAAATTAAAACATATGCAAATATCAATGATGTCAGCACAGTTTCAAACTTGACATTTGTCACAGTGCAGTGACTTAGTCTAGGCCAATACCTCTGTAAAAGTCGGATCAATTTTACACAATATCGCCATTATGAATAGGGCCTCCATTTTAAAATGATAAAAAATCAATATTTTTCTATTTTGACAATATTAAAGGGTAAAACGGTTTAAGGAATATCTTAAGATCTAAATCAGCAAAATTATTTTCACCCAAATTGTTTCTTATTTTTTAAAAGTAGGCAAGTCTATTTAAGTATTGTCCAAAGTCCAGTGAGGATCGAATCCACTACAATACACTTACTATGGAATTTAGTTTAATTTTGAGAGAAAAATCATTGATTTTATGGCGGGTGCCCAGTTATTTCTTATTATGATTTTTACCTTGTCTGAGAAGGCCACATTAATTCGGTACCCTGAGGATCGAACTAGCAACTCAAGCGAAAAAGTTATTTTAAGATAAGCATGCTAACTTTCATGCTAAGATACGGACCCAGAAATAAAACCAAAGACCTTGTGGAGAAAGGGATACGGATTCCTAAACGTTTAAAAAATATAGTAAAAATAACACGAGGAAAAGAAAGAGATTTGACACTTATTATAGGATGTGTAAAAACTAAATATATAAATACTAAATAAAATTCCAACATATGAATAAAAAAAAAAATTTGGAAGATCATAGTTCTCTATATTCCTGTCATTGACATTCCGATATATAAAAATATCGGAATATCAATGACAGTGGAGTAGTTTCCTGTTGTCTCCTGCTTATAATATCGTTATAAACATGACACATTTTCTAAATCAGTATTTTTCGATTTTGCCTAAAGTTTCCTATTTTCATTGATTGGTTCGATTATTTCGTTACGAGAGTTTTTTTTATTATTATTTGTGTCTTTAAAAAGATATCCGGTTTTCGGTTTTAAATCTGTTTGGAAATGTTTGTTGAAAGGGAGATGCATTGTTCTGCCAGAGACAATATTGCCTCATGTAATATTTTCTTAATTTCTTTGACATGAAATGCCACAATGCAGTAACGGACCTGGAAATTGATCGTTTGATGGGTGTCCGTTTTGTTTCCTCTACGTTACTCTGAAAAAGAAATACAGAAGGTTTAATACTGCCAGTCGAAGACCATGTCTCTGGTCTCACCTATGCCCTACTTCGCTCAAAAAAAAAAAGAAAAAAAGAAAACTATAAAAGTAAAAGAAATTTTCCCAAATTTAATTTCGTCGTTTTGAACCCGACGCAGTCATCAGTCGATCGATGAAATTGTGTTCGGTAGCACTGGAACAACTTTCTCTGCAGAGAAATGAGCGAAGAACAGACCTAAACCGGAACAATGAAACAATAGTAAATATTTGAAATCGAAGAAAGATAGAATGACAAAAAATCAATAATAACAATATTATTAAACAGAAAAGGAAAATATTTTTTTATTTTATTCCGACCAGCATTTGATCAAAATATCAAATTCATTTTTACTATTTGGTCCTGTTAATATCAGTTCATGTTGGGTATATAAATGGATCAGTTTTGCACAAGTAAACCCCGCATCTCCTGTGATTCATGAAATCGATATAATCTAGCTAAATATTCAACCTAAGCCGGAACTATGACGATCGAACGGAAAGACTTGAAACTATATATGTTAGTACAATGTTTCTCCACCTTTTTAAGCAACGGCACACATAAGAACAAATAAAAAATATTACAGAACTCTTACCAAATTTTCAGAGTCATATACTTTTAAAAAATTGGAAAATTATTA